CTCAGCGGCAAAGCGCCTGCCTGGCAAGCGCAAGGTCGTGAGTTCGGTTCCCGGTACCGGAGAAAAACCAAAAAAATAAATAAATAAATAAAATAAGAAAGTGAAATGACAGTCTTAGAAGGGAGAAAATAGGTACAAATTATTTATCTGGTAAGCCTATAATACATAGATCATATAAGGAACTCCTATAACTCAGTAATAAGAAAACAATAACCTAATGAAAAATGGCAAAGAACCTGAATAGCCATTTTTCCAAATATGTAGAAATGGCCAATAATGATACAAAAAGATGTTTGACAAGGCCACCTCCAACCAAGGCCACAGTGATTATTATTTCACACCAGTGATCATGGTTTTACTTTTTAAAGACAGATACAAAAGCATAAGCAGAGAAATAGGGAACTCTTACATTTGTGGAAGAAATGTAAAATGGTAAGCCACTGTGGGGAAAATGTCTAGCTGTTCTTCAAACAGTTAAGCATAGAGTTACAATATGGCTCATCAAATCCACTCCTAGGTATCTAACCAAGAGAAATCAAAATGTATTTCTACACAGATACTTATGAATGAATGTTCACAGTAGCATTATTTATAATAGCCAAAAAAGTAGAGATGATTTAAGTGCCCATCAACTGATCAATGGTTAAACAAAATGAATAAACAGATAATAAACAGGTTATCATGCAATGGAATATATTCATTAATCAAAAGGAATGAAATACAAATACATGATACAATTCAGATGAACGCTGAAAATACTATGCTAAGTGAAGGAAGACAGTCACAAAGAGTTATAGATTATTATGATTCTTTTTGTATGAAATGGCCCAAATAGGCAAATCTAGAGACAGAAAGCATATTAGTGGTTGCCTAGGGCAAAGAGGTTGGGGTAAAATAATGATTGTTCATTTCTTTAGAAAGTATAGGATTTTTTTGTGGAGTGACAAATATTTTCTAAACCTGATGTGATGATGGTTGCACAACTCTATGAATACACTAAAAACCAGGGAGTTATATACCTTCAATGGGTGAATTGTATAATATGTGGATTATAGTTCAACAAACATTTTTTAACACAAAGTTCTACTTCTAACTCTGCTCCTAATCAAGTTATTCCAAATTCAAAGCCGCACTTCTTACCATGTTAAATGGAGATCATATGTTGCTCAAATCAAAATAAGGGATTGTTGTTTTTAATTTTCCCAATCATAGCAAGGATGATCGGCTCAGAGTGCCCAAGGTCCTACTTGGTGAGACTTGGCAGGCTAGCTCAAAGTGAGGGCCCACCATCAGATTACAGATTTACAGTCTCACAAGTAAAATCTTAGAGATCATGTAGGCCTATCATCTACCTGATATATGAACCCCTTCTACAAGATTTCCTCTGCTTTTATTTTCTTCTGAGGCATATGGGACTTAAAAGGCAGTTCGGTTTAAGGAAAAAAAGTTACTCTTCATTTGAGTCTACAGATGTCCAGTAACTAAAAACAACACGAAAGCTTGATCTTCATTTTGTATCTGTATTACCTTAAAACTCCATGTCAAATCCCTTCTCAACTCTGCATGTAAGCTTGTTAATCATGTGTGGAGTGTCAAAAATAAAATAAAAGTTAGCAAAACAAGGTTGATTAGCCCCAAGTTTGTATACTCTGTCTCATCCCTCCTCAAGGTTGAGGACACCAAGATAAGAGATTCCTGGGGACGTTCAATTACCAATGAACAGTTGTTACCCTAATGTTATAGTCACCTTGGATTCCAGCATATCCTCCACAAGACTGAGAGTGCCCCATGCAGAAACAATCATTCAGAACAAACTGTCCACTCATATGATAAGGCTTTTTCTCAGAGCCATCTTACCAAACCAGAACAAGTAATAATCACCCAAACCCTTCTCCACCTCAGCTAATCAGCAAAGGCTGGTCTTATTCTTTTTTTAAGAGAAAAGAAAAATAAAAATAACCATAAAACAAAGTTTCAAAACAGGTTAGTAGGAGAGTTACAATAATTAACACATTGCATACTGTTGTCTTCCCAGTAGTTTTTCAGAGTGCAAGATACAGCTATGATATCTTATCCAAATAATGTTAGCATAAACCTTTCTTCTCAATGAACTAAGAGAAACTAGCAGTATAACTGTCTTGTATACAAATATATTTTTTTCTTTTTCCCTTCCTTCCTTTCTCTTTTCCCTCCATCACAGTTTGTCTTTTCTTTTGAATAGTTTCTTCCCATTTCACAATATCTATTGTACATGTTGGACCTTATTTACCCTTTCAGTTTCTCACTCTAGTTAGACAATACGATGTTTGCACAGATGGGTCTGATTTATTTCACTTATTTTGTTAATGGGCCAGTCTGGTCCTCTTTGTCAGGGCTGTGCCCTCTTCAGCTCCTCAAACTAAAGCCTCTTCCCTATTTTCTCTTACTTTCTAACCCTTCCCAATCAATAGGCTATGCCTCTCACTGATACACCCTGAAATGGTTTTCCATGACAAGAGTTGATGAACCTACCTAGGGTGACTTCAGGTCCCTATCTCTTTTTTGGGAGAACCTCCTTAGAACTCATCTAGTGATGGCTCCTCTTGAGTTTGTTTAATGCACATTACAGACTACTGGAGCTATGGAAGAAGTTATAAAGGTCATCCAGTCCAATCTTCTGGTTTTAAATTGATAAAAACAAAAGTCCATTTGAAATAGTTAGTAGATAGGACCTAGCTGTGCCATTTGCTCAACGTTACTTTACCAGTTAACTGCTGAAATAGAATGGGAAAAGAAACCCACACAAACCTCATTTCTACACCCTTTTCAAACCCTCTCTTACTTATGTACTCAACAAATAGTCATTGAACCTAATTCTATAATGGCCCACGCAAAAAAATAATGGTATATAAGACTAGGGTAACAGAAGTAAAAATAGAGATAGAAAGATGAGTATAAGAAATATTTAGAAAAAGAAGAACTAAGACATATCATGTACAGTTACAAATTCCCTGTGATGAAGGTGAATGTTATCTATTTCTACATTGTACCAGTAAACTTAATTGAGAGCAAGACAAATAAATAAAAAAGAGAGATTTAGGAGACAGAACTGGACGTGGGTTAGTGAGAGAACATTTACTGGATGAGAGGCCGAATCTGCAAATGGTAACCAAAAGAAGATGGAAAAAGGAAGAATGTAGGAGAGTAAACTATTATGAATCAAAGGAAAGAAGAGCGATCAGTGATGCTGAATGCTACTGAGATGATGATGAATGGAGAATTTTTAATCTAGTACAGGAAAGTCACTCTGTTCAGTATTACAGAAACCAGATCACAGGCAAGGGAAAGAAAATGGGAGTGACACATTCAAACACAGCATTTTGGTTTTCTGCATGCTATATTCATCTATTGTATACAGTTCCACGATGGTGTAGTATGCTACTATTGACCTGCTGTACCAATCTAAAAATGTAAACACCTCTACAGTGACCAATATAATCCATGTCCAGACTCTAGAAAAGCCACTGTGATGCTTGCTAGCTGCAACCTTAATTAATAAGCAGCTCAGCTCAGAGGAATAGTTAACTATTATTCACATTTTGTATAATTTGAATGCAAATGCTTTGCCCAAGGTCATGTATGAAGTTGGGGGGAGGAGGGCTCTTCCAAATTCCTCTATCCCCACCTTCCACAGAGTTAAGCAAGCCAGACGGAAGACCAGATTGACCTTGGAGAAGTCATTTCCCTTGGGCATTTGTAAAATGAAGTTTGACCAGATGATGTAGTCAATATTTGTGAATTTTTGATCTCTTGAGAGTCTCCAACTTAAGATTTGCCAACTTGCAGTTCTTAAACCAAAATTAAGTTGCTTTATTCTTTTTCCTGCAACGTAAAACATGAACTCCAACCCTAAAGTCAACCCCAAACTCTAGCTACCCCAGACTCAGAGTTAAGTGTCCAATCTCCTAGGACAACATATTCTTTAGGGTATGAGGCCCCTTTGAATTTTATCAGTCTACAGCTTCAAACTTCTTACTTCTAGAATAATAATCTTGCCTTTTACTTCATGTTTTTCCTTGGAACAGTCTAGCACTGATTCATTTTTCAGGTAAACTCCCTTGGACGTAGGGCACTTAGTTTTTATAGTAATATATGTTGGAGAGTTTTCTATAACTTATTTTCATTGATAAAATTTGCATATATTTATTATGTACAACACAATGTTTTAACATATGCACACATTGTAGAAGGACAAAATGGTTAATTAACATATCTATTGCCTCACATATTTCTCCTTATTTTGTGATGAAAATACTTAAAATCTATTGTTAGCAATATTCAAGTATTTTTAACACATTGTTAATGACTATGTCACCTTGTTTTGCAATAGATCTCTTGAATTTATTCCGCCTATCTTAAACTTTAGATCCTTCAACCAAGATCCCCCAAATTCAGACCTCCCTTTGTCCTAACTCCTATTAACATTCTACTCTCTGCTTCCATGAATTTGACTTGTTTAGATTTTGTATTCAAGTGTGATCATGCGGTATACATCTTTCTCTGCCTTGCTTTTTTCACTTAACACAATGTCCTCCAGGTTTATCTATGCTGTCACAAGTGATGAGATTTTCTTCTCTTATAAGCTGAATAGTATTGTTATATATGTATATATATAATTGCTATATATAATTGCTATATATATACTATTGCTATATATATGCTATTGCTAGATATATATATATACAATATTCCCTTTATTCAACTGTTACTGAGAAGCTTAGGTTGATCCTATATCTCAACTCTTGTGAATAATGCTGCAATGAATGTGGGGCTGTATCAGAATACTGATTTTGTTTCTTTTGGACATAGATTCAGTAGTGATATTGCTAGGGAATATGGTATGTCATTCTTTTTTTTTTTTTTTTTTTCAGGAACTTCCACACTGCTTTTCCATAAAGGCTATACTAATTTATATTCCCTCTGTTAAAGAGCTTTGATAGATCTTCTAGATGGGCATGGAAATATGTTCTTCTCTAATAAGTTTTCAGATCATCTCTTTTCCAAGTCTGACTGATGGGAAAGTCCCAGGACACGGAGCCCAACCAAGCCATGTATTTTGAAGATGTGTGTAAAACCTGAAGACACTAGAACAAGGATTTCCTGACTGAATGCCTAGGCTCAGAAGTGGCTTAGCTTCAAAAGGTACCCAGAAATTCAGCCTACATCCAATCAGCCTCCCTCCCCTGCAAATCCTTCTGGCCTCACAGGAAAGACTCTCACCATTAGGCATGAGTTCCACCACCAAGGTTGGGTAGGCGATGTTGGTACAGCCAACCGAGGTGCCACAGTATCTCTGACATTCCGAGGGGACCACACAGGCAATTTTTTCTGGAGAAGAGATGAACAGCCATGTTAGTAAGGAGACATTGCAGAAATAGTTCCAAAGTTCACTTTCTTAAAATAATACTTCAAACAAGACATTCCCGCCCAAGGTGCTGTAACTGCACCAAAAAGTTCATGGCGCCCAGATGAGCCCTTGTGTGCCATGCCGCTTTCCCTCTGATCCTGACACAGTCCCAACCCCTGACTAGGAAGAAAGAAATGTTCCTAGGCAAAGGAGGAAAGGAAACAAAGCTATTATAAGGGTGGGAAAGGAGAAGGAACAATCTTTAATCTTTGGCTAACTACCCTATAGCTCAGCAAAAGACAACTGTATTGCTTTCTCTGAAAATCCCAGTGAGTAATGGCTCCTAATTTTGAGGTTTATTTTATGCAGCTCTTAGAAGTAGAGGTAAATAACTGAGGAGATTCTCCAGTAGCAGGGTTGTTGAATACTACTTCCAAAGTATGGAAAATCTTGAATAGAGATTAAAAAACAAAAAGGAAACAGCCTGGGCAGAGAAGGGAATGAGGTGAATCATAGAACTCTAGAAACTTAGATAGAATTCAGACCAATAAGCATTCATTAAGTACTCACTACAAGTATATCTCACCTGGCAATGAATTATTATAGCACTATTTTATAAATAAATGTGTATAGTGGTCATTACAGTATGAACTGGTCAGTTAGCTCTTTAGTTGACCACTTTCCCTGCCTCAGTGTCCATGGGCGACTGGTTCCAGGAAATCCACTCCAGTGGATACTGAAATCTGCAGATGTTCCAGTCCTTTATATAAAATAGCCTAACATTTGCATACACCATATGCATTATCTTCCTGTATAACTGAATCATCTTTATAGTACTTATATTACCTTGTACAATATAAATAGTTGTCATACCATATATATAGTTAGGACCTAATAACAAGAAAAAAGTCAATACACATTCCATATATCTGCAGTGTTTTTCAGATATTTTTAATCTGCAGCTGGGTGAATCTATAGATGTGCAAATAATGAATACAGAAGGCTGACTATATTTTTCTCATGTCAGATGAGCCATTACAGGAGTATACAGCTCATCCTTCCCTCTCTCCCTCCCTCCCTCCCTCTCCACCATTCACTTTACAGAAAACAGTTTAGCCGCTTGGTGATACCGGGGAGACCACAAGAGGATCAGTGAAGAATGTATCACCTTAGAGAGCAAAGTGCAAGGCTCAGGACACTTTCAAGGAAATGGTTCCGGAAACGGGGATCAGAGCAGGAGGCAATTAGAGACTGGCTGGGGTCTTTTGACGTTAAGTTATAAAGGACATCATACACACCACAAGCCTAGGGGAGGAGCTAAAACTGAACAAATATTACTAGCTGGAAGAGAAAACCTGGAGACGTGTTGTGACTTAAGAAGATCAGAAAAGAAATGAAACATTTGCCAGTGCAACAAACCCAAAGAGGAAAACCCCCAAAGTTCTGAGCCCTGAAGTCCATTATCTAGCAGAGGGAACAATGATACTTGATAATTGTGGCAAGAAAACAGGAGCATATAAAAGAAGGAGCACAAAGCTAGAAGACTTTGGAAATGACGCAAAGCCAAAAAAAAGTAAATAAACGAGCATGGCCTGTGAGGGCAGCGGAAGGAATTACCTGTGTACAGGATACGGCTGATCATTCCTGTCATCACCATGAGGAACATGGGCAGCAGCTTCAGATATCCACACAAAATACAGCCGGCCTTGATGTGAGACATGTTCTTGGCTGAGAGGCAGCGCTGTACAATGACCTGCAGTGGGAAACCAAGTCAGGGAGAGGTGCGCGCTAGAGATCCCGTGACAGCCCCTGCTATCCCTGCTCCCCTAGTTCTTGGTCTGGGACTCCCAGGACTCAGCAGCCCACAGATAATACGACCCCTCCCCACCGTTCTCAACCCCACAAGCCATATACGGGCAGAAGTCCTTGTAACACCCTGGAGAAGACCCTGCCCACCCTATCTACACAGCTTGGTTACCTGATCTGTGCACCAGTACCACAGGGCAAGGATGCTCATCCCAAAGATAAGCCCAGGCCACGGGACGTCTCCTGTGATGGGATCTCGGAAGATGTGGAAAGAGTCGGCCCTTGGGGTGTAGCATTCTTCCTTGATGGTGATATTTCCATCAGAAATTATGGTTGGAATCGCTTTCATGTACTTATCCATGAAGGCTTCGTACCCTCCCACTTCATGGAAAGCTGCAAAACATTGAAACAAAAATGACCCTTCTGAAACATTCAGCTCTTTATAATGGTTTTTTCTGTGGGTGCCTGAAGAACTGAGAGGATTCCACAATCAAAGAAAACCTTTGCTGTGTGGCCTTGGGTAAGTTACAAGCTTTCTTATTCATAGAATGGGATTTTTAACCCTGCCCAGCCCCCTTGGGGGGTTCTGTGAGAACTGAAAGCAATAACTTGTGAAAGTACTCCAACCACACACTTCTTCACAAAAGGGAAAGTATTTTAATTATTTAAGTGAAAACTTTGGCTTTGGACCACATGGAAAGATTCTACTTTTTCCTTTACCTCCTCTTGTTAGTCATGGTCCTTGGAACTCAGAATAGAGGCCTAGAGACATATAAATAGAGGCCGTTGCGAGCCTCAGAATAGAGGCCGTTGGGAGCCTGGACACAGACCTACCACACCTGCTCCTGGCAGTGTACTGCGATGACCAAGAAGAGGTAAAGAATCTGTAACCCTGTCACCTCTCAACTGTGTGTCCTTGAATAAGTCATTCTAGCCCCTGCTTTGCTCCGGGCTTACTGTGAAAAAAAAAACAAATGAAAGTTCTCAGAAAACTGAGCAGTGGAGAGTAGATAACAGTCTCCACAGGACACACAGAGGGCCTTGTGCACCTAAAAATAAAATGCATTTTATATTCTTTCACAACAAGCATGCCATGACCTAAGATTTTCAAGGTTGTCATTAGAATTTCATAGGCAAGAAAAATGTCAAGAAATGGATATCCAGGTAGGATATCCCAATACTGAATGGCCTGTCTTTAAATTTTATCAAATGGGGCTATTGAAATGAAAATTATCACTACTATCAGCAATTTATAAAAGGATGGACTTTTAACGTCAAAAACAGGAAAGATGTAGTCTAAGACTGAAAATACAACATTTGAGTATATTTAGCCTGCTGGATATTTAGCCTTATTCTTTCTGTGTCCAGTTTCTCTGCAAGAGAGAATGCCAGGGTATCACAAACCCACACTTGGAGCCAGTGATCCAGGATAAAGAGAGAGAACTGCAGGGAGACCAGGTATTGTATGAGCCAGCCCCAACCTAAGTCTTCGAGCGGTAAGGAAGTTGCACCTTCACATCCAAAATGATGGCCCATCTGCGCTGGATCACTGCCCTTGGGAGAGCGGAGTGAGCCTAAATTCACTGCCTAGGCTAGTGGTACACAGCAAGGTTGGACTTGCTTTCTCTTCCTGGGGCCCTGAACATCTGCTCCCACCTTCTCAGTCTGCCCTAGCCCCACTTACCAAAGCCAGTCAGGATAAGAGACCCCACCAGCATGATGGCCGTCTGCAAGGTGTCCGTGTATATCACAGCTGCCAGGCCCCCTAAGCAGGCAAAAAGACAACATATGTGACCTCGTGTGGCAGGTGACCTGCCTGCTCCCCTTTCCCATACACTCCGCTCTACCTCTACCTTTTGAAAACCACCCCCACCTCCCAGTCACCCACCTGCCTTCCCTTCCCTCCCTGCCTTGTCCTTTTATGGTGATCTGCTGTTCAGCATATTCCCTCCACTTCTCACAAAAAAAGTTTTCAGGTCCTTAGGAGAATGTCTCCCTGTACCCGAGTGGGAAGAACCTGGTGTGACTTTTTAAGCCATTCGATGGCACAAAAGAGCTGGCTCTTCTATGGCTAAAAGGGAGCATCTTCCAAACGAAGGCCAAGAAAAGCAGCACTGACTGTAGAGGCACCTGGGAACATTAGCAGCTTGGCACATTTCAGAGGACCCCTTCGTTGTCCACTGTCTCATACACCATCTAAGTATCTTCTTGCCCTCAAAGACATGGAGCTCCAGTTGAGGATCAGGTTCCATTGCCGATCCTGCCCCTTTCAAGCTAGGAAAAGTAATACTTCTACAAAGGAGCCCTCAACTCTTATTCGTGCACCAGCTTCTCTGGCCACCTCTTAAGTCTTCTCTAAAAATTATTTTTATGTGTCACTCTCTCCCTCCCGCCCTACACTGGCTCCCACTCTCTACCACATCAAATCCAAGGCCTCTGTCAGGTTTCCAAGGCCCTTGCTTTTCATTCAAATTACCAAGCTTTATGCCCTACACTCAGCCACACTACTTCTCAGGGGCCATCCTCCTCTAGCCAAATGCATCTGCTTGCTCACCCTTCCTCAGCCCTGTTCGTGTTTACATTCCCTGCTCTCACTTATCTTCACACCTAGCACTCCTCCGGTTTTCCTAGCTGAGCCATGCTGCTTCCATAACACGCAGGGCCAAGCTCTGCCTACGCTCCTGTAAGATGGCACCTGACTATTCCAGCCAACACTGGCGCATTCAGAGATTACTCTTGTACCCTGTAGTGGAGACCAAGTAAATGCTTACCCTCAAACTTTCCTGGGTGTATCTCTCATCCATAAAAGGAGAAGCCGTGTATTCTGCTTCCTTTTACCCTTCACAAATGCCTAACCCTGAGCTGGGCTTGAGTTGCTGGTTCACCCACCTGTGATTGTGTAAAGGGCAGTGATTGCCAGTAAAACAAAGATGGCCAAGTATATATCCAGGCCCAGGGCCAGATTGATGAATATGGCTCCAGAGAAGATGTCCGCCTGGAAGGAGAGGAGAGGCAGAATTAGAAGCAAAGGGAGCCTGTCAGCCACAGCATTCATGCTCTATTCCTGAGTTTCCAAGCAATCTTTATTCAAGATGATAATCTGTATTCTGTCAGAAAAAGGCTCCAATGGTCCTTCCCTTTTCATTGGTATATGTTTAGGATACAGTGAATACACTCACCGTGGTGAGTTGGTACAAACACATATCACATCTTAATCCTTTTCACTTCCTCTTCCCTCCTCTTCCTCCCATTCTCCCCATCCCCAGATCCTCCTCATCTCCACAAAGTCTATTTGCTTGTTTCCTGTCCAAAAGGCCTGTGAAATGCTGGATTAAACAAAGTTAAGGCGGTTTCTTTGCTATGCAACATCTCTATGTTTTTGTTTTTGTTTTTGTTTTTGTTTTTGTTTTTGTACCAGAAATCAAACTCAGGACCTTGTGCTTGCTAGGCAGGCGTTTGTGCCACTGAGCTATATGCCAGGCCCCATGCAACTTCTCTGGGCTTTTAATATACACAGGTACTGTGAATCCCTAGAAAGGGAACATGGCACACAACGCTTCACAAACGTGTATGTGACTTCACAAAAGTGTGTAACTCTTTTGCCAAGGAGCAACTATATTTTATCTATAATTGCATTGTTTTGTTTTGTTTTTATTTCAAAGAGGAAAAAAACAATAAAAATGATACAGAATTTCAAAACAAGAGGATACAAAATTAACAATGGTTGTTATATTGCATATTGTTATCTTCTTAGTAGTTGCTCAGATTACAAGATATAGGCATGCAAAATTGATTGAACAATATTAGCACTAATTGTTCCTTTCAATGAATTAATAGAAATTAGTAGTACAATTATCTTAGCTATCTTGTGTGTGTGTGTGTGTGTGT